TGCAGTCCCAGAAACAGTGGAGAGAACAGTGCCAGCAGCAGGGAAGTAGAGCATCAATTAAGGGCAGCGTGCCCTAGATGGCACAGTGACGTTCCCACAATGCACCACCATCACGGCCACCACTTTACTTTATGTATCTATCTCGCTCACACACTTTGCACTTTGTCTTTCTGTAGAGCTACTTGGAAAGACCTTTAACTGTCTCTCTTCAGGAATCATGGCCCTGTTACTCAAGATAATCCACAGAGCTTGCTGTGAGCAGTGTCATGTAGGAACTACTTTCTTTTACTAAACTACACCTGCCAACCATATCACCACACAGAATGAAGCATGCATCTACTGCTAGCTCACCTAGCACCACTGAGCTAGTAACAATAAAGCTCAGCTGAGGAGGACACCATTAATATTTACATCTCATGCTGTCAGGACAACAAGCCCCTTGCCCATGAGTAGATACAAACTGCCCTCTGCACGGTGATCCGGTTGGGAGTTGCAGTTCCTAGGGATGGGCATTTCAAGTGACTTTCATCTTCTTCCACGTTACACAACACAAAGGGCCACCTCCAAGCTACCCTCCTCCCAGTCAGTTCAAAGTGTGAACAGTGAGCATGAGCTAACGCAGCAGCTAACATCTAACACCAAGCCAATTAACAGTCCCAACAAACTCACACCAACAGCAAAACAGCTGAACTCTGTCCCTTCAATAACTAATAGGCTAGGTAATGTTTGCTCTGTGATGCTAATAGTAACCCCTGTAACAATGTTCTCTCTTCTGAGGCAAAGACGTCTCCGCTGGCTGGGCCGTGTCCGCCAGATGCACGATGGTCTCATGCCAAAAGACATACTGTACGCAGAGCTAACATCTGGCAAAAGGCCAATTGGCCGCCCTCTGCTTCGGTATAAGGATGCGCGCCTTGCTCTCCACTTGCTCTGCGCCCTACCCCGCAGTGGGCGCCGCAAAAATCGCACTCTGTGTGAAAGAGGCTTATGGCAGCAGGCACTCCGCACCAGACTGCAGACCCATGAAACAACCTTGTCTCAACAAAGAGAAACAAAAAGAAAGTTGAGAAAGCAGCAAGTCACCATCACGTCCTCAACATCACAGAATCCGGCCTACAGTTGTGACATCTGTGGCCGGGTCTGCCACTCCCGGATTGGCCTTCACAGCCACAGAAGACGCTGTGTCCAAACCTAACTACCAGGCACAAGAAATCTATGGTCTTACGAGACTGCGATGCCGATGACTGAACTAGTGTGTGTGCAGACTCTCACCAACTGTCACCAGTGCGGCGCTAACCCTCCTGAAGTAGTAGTCTCAGGCTAAACAGGAAGAGCAATAGCGGAGCAACAAGGTGCTGAGTCAAACAAACAAGCTCACAAACTGCTCACAACAAGGTCTGTGGATTATCATGACAAACCGGGTCATGATTTCTGGAAAGAGACATTGCTGTTGAGTTTTCCAGATGTATGATTTTTTTGGCGCTTTGAGCAGCGCAAGCAGAGTGTCATCTCGTTCCATTATATTGTAGAGAAGGCAGACATCTCTTCGGCTGATATGTATCAGTCAAGACTGTTTTGCTGTGAGTTGCCAAGTGGGCAACTCACAGCAAAACAGTCTTGACTGATACACAGCATTATAGGGATAAGGAAAAATATGGAAATTTGATTTTGGGGTGAACTGTCCCTTTAAGAGTCTAAAACATGAGGCAAATCCAATTGTGTATAAGCATGTGGAAAAATGCTTTAACTGACAAAAGAACTCACCCATACTGGTTCTCTTTGGCCTTCTTTCTTTTTCTTTGTTTTTGTCTGTATTCTGCACTTGTTCTTAGTGTGATCCTTCCTACTGAGAGCTGTGGCCTACGTGAGACTCATAAACACGCATGCACGCACACACACAAGCACAAAGAGCACACTCCTGTTGGTATTGAATTATTGAATAGTGAGTGACAGGGACACACACAACGTACACACCAGGGGAGGGTAATAAGACACCAAGGAGTGCCTCATGTACATGCACACACACACACAAACACACACACCTGGCAATACAAGCTGATACTGGCAAAATTAATCCAGTATTAGGGGACAATAAAATGGTATGTCATACACTGAGGAAGGCCATTAGACCGAGAACAGAGGAGGCATTTATGTGCACACACATGCACACACAGACTGGCCAGTGTATGCAAGGGTGATTCAGTGTGAGGAGACAAAATATGATGGGACCAGTGTCAGACCTGTGACATCACATCCTGTCAGTACAGATGCAGCTCAGAAACGCTGAAGCAGAAAACATTCAACGCTGCAGTAACACTACAGCTTTAGTATTCCCACATGTGCTGGTGCACCTGTACTCAACGCTGCTGCTGGTGAATGCAAACGTTCAAATTAGTATTTCTATTAGTTTCCCTGTTACTGCTGACAATGTGTCTTTGGCTGGTCATCCAATCGGATGGCACATTTTTGGACAACAAGTAATTTTTGTTTGGTTCCAGGCTGCTGCTTTCATCCCTACTCTGTTCACTTCATCATAAAAACTCTAATCTGTTTCCGATTGAGTCACAACCACCGATTATTCCTCTTCTTTCTCCTCTCCTTCATCCTGCTTTTCCATGCTAATCACAAATCACTTCTCCGTCTCACTCACACACACACACACACACACTCCTCCTTTCCTCTTTCTGCTGATGCATCAGGTTCAACGATCCGTCAGCAGCTCTGGTTAATATGTGGCTACAACATGGCTGACTCGGATCATTGAGTCCTGTGCCGGTCTGTGTCCTAAGTGTGTGTGTGTGTGTGTGTGTGTCTCTCTCTCTCTCTCTCTCAGTGTTTTTCACATCCGGTCCAAATTAAAGGTGATTCGGAGTAACAAACTCCAGCCAGCTAGCTGTCCATCCTCATTCAGTCATTACACAACATGATTGAACTTCCTTCTATTCAGGGGAACTTTTCCTAATCCTTGCGCAGTTAATCCCAATCTGCATCAGCCCTGTGTGTCCCCCTTCAGGCTGCCGTCCAAACAGCCGCAGGAGCTCATTCCTCACAGCAGGAAATACAGAATGGGCAGACAGACGCTCACAGGGAATAGCTGTCAGAGATGTCGGGGGCGCCAACCTGTATTCTGTTGCTGTTTGAATGAGGTGAAGGAAGCGGATGGAAAGATGGAACAAGGAAGAGGAAGAAGAGATTTCCTAACATGGAGCTGGAGAGTAAAATTTCCTTCATGCCTCAGGTGAAAGAGAAAGACTGTGAGTGTAATGATGACACTGTTACTACTGCTGAGAGACCGAAATTCCTGCGGTCTGTTAAAGCCTTGCTGTCATCAACAAGAACATCACCTCCAGGAATATGACAGAATGTGCCGAACCACGGTATCACTATAATGTCATTTCTAAGCACCACAGCCATCCTAAGCCATAGTCCAAGTTTCTATGTAAACACCACATAGAGTATAACAGACTACATTAAATCATAGGAACACTATTAGTCAAAGCCTTAGAGATCAAAAGAAATGCTATCAGGGTCTCTATGAACTTAAACTTAAACATATTAACATCCACCATGAATAGTACTGCAAGGAGTTTGTATGGAAACTGATGTTAATTTATATAAATATGATAAAAATTATTTGTTAAATAAATAAATACCATTTGATTAGAAAATACACATCCATACAGATATTGGTCAGTCAAAGTCTGGAAAAATGAATTTGGATAAATGGTTAGTAGTTGGCTAAAAATAATAAGTATATTGCTCCAATAGTTAGTAGGGGTTGGGGAAAAAAATCACAAAAATATAAATATCATGATAATATCGTATCTTGGGGCCTCTGGTGATTCCCATCCCTTATAGTTAGCTACAAGTAGGCTAATAGCTAAGATGAAATTAATAAATGGTGACATAATAAGTACTTAACATGCTAGCTAAAAATAACAGATAATGAGTTGAAGTTAGTTAACATAGTTAGATAACGTTAAGCTAAATGCAACGTTAATGGATAAGTAATTAAAATATCTAAAAGTTTTGTTTTTTTTTTAAAAAAAAGAAAGAAATAGCTAAAAGTTTTATGAATGGTTGAAACAGCTAGGAAAAAATACACCATTCAAATAGTTAGATAAAAGTAGGCTAATAAGCTCAAATTGTTAAATGGTGACATAACGTTAGCTGAAAATAATTAATAGGTAACATTCAATTAGTGAAGTAGATATGCTGGCTAAAAGTAACAGATACTGACTTAAAATACATTATGTAACATTAGCTAAATGTAACGTTTATGGATAAATTATTGAAATAGCTCAAATTTTAAATGAAATAGCTAATAAAATTCAGAAATTGTTCAAATAGCTAGCTAAAAGTATGCTAATAGCTAAGCTGAAACTTAAATGACGACATAGCTAAAAATCATTAATATACAAATTATTGAAGTAGTTGACATGCTGACTAAAAGTAACGAAATGAGTTGTAGTAAATTAGGTATGGTTAGCTAAATGTAATGTTAAAGGATAAATGATTAAAATTGCTAGAAGTTGATTAAATGGTTGAAATTGCTAAATTAATGGATAACAGTCGTCACCGAGTCACGTTTGCTATTGGTAAACCGGAAGACTGTACTTTCCCTAAGCACAACAGATCCGTTCAGGAATATTACTAAAACATTATACATTATACACAAACAGCCAGTGATGTCATCTCGAAAAACAAACACAATAAACCCTCCTGCTGAGCAACCACAGATTACACATGCAGCGGTGACAAGCCTCTACTACAGTGATACGATAAAGGAAGACATGAGTAAAACAAGTCCAAGTGTGTAAGCTTGGTGCTGAGACACATTTTGAGTCCCTATGGTGATATCAGTGGAAAACTATAACATTGCTTAAGTGCACTAAGGTCACTGACAACTCAGTACGGAGAACCACATGTACACTGAACACCAATGGGAATGTCACAGGAATATCATATACGGAGATGTGAGGTGAAGTTAGTCAACTCACGTGCCGAGGACTTCTTTAAAATCAAAAATCTTCTTGATGTCGTCGACTTGTTTTTTCCACGTCGCTCCTCTGCCGGTGTCTCCGTTCTCCCGAGCCATGGCGCTGCTTTACCGGCGCAAGTCCGACCGACACTGGGCTGCGGGAGCAGGGATGTGACACAAAGGACAATAAAGACGGAGGAGTGTCTACAAAAATATTAATAAAGCCGAGCTGAGTGACACAGGTTTGGAGAGTCCCGGTGGTCTGTGCTCCTCTGCTGCAGGACCATGTGAGTCCTCCTGCAGGTTACCGTATCCCTGCTGCCTCCCTCCTCCTCTTCTTCTCTCTCTCTCCCTCCTCCCCTCCTCCTCTCCGGCCGTCTGGATGGCAGCTGTCAACGCAGCGAGGAGATAACGGCACTTCCTGTCAGGACTTTCAAAATAAATGCCTATTTATTAATGTAGATGCATAAACACATTTATAGCAGTTCAAATGTTCAGTGGGTGATATTAAAGTGTGTATGTCATTATTACACTATAATTACAGTTAATAGGACTAATGACATGAAATCAATATCATCATCATCATTGTACACTCTCCTACAAGCTTTTCAATTTGATTAAAATAAAAAAATAAACAGCAGAAAAAGTGAAATCAACGCAAGGAACCAAAAGTAGGCTCAACTATTAGGTGATATGCAGTAAATATGAATAAAATATACAGTACAGGCCAAAAGTTTGGACACACCTTCTCATTCAATGCGTTTTCTTCATTTTCATGACTATTTACATTGTAGATTCTCACTGAAGGCATCAAAACTATGAATGAACACATGTGGAGTTATGTACTTAACAAAAAAAGGTGAAATAACTGAAAACATGTTTTATATTCTAGTTTCTTCAAAATAGCCACCCTTTGCTCTGATTACTGCTTTGCACACTCTTGGCATTCTCTCCATGAGCTTCAAGAGGTAGTCACCTGAAATGGTTTTCCAACAGTCTTGAAGGAGTTCCCAGAGGTGTTTAGCACTTGATGGCCCCTTTGCCTTCACTCTGCGGTCCAGCTCACCCCAAACCATCTCGATTGGGTTCAGGTCCGGTGACTGTGGAGGCCAGGTCATCTGCCGCAGCACTCCATCACTCTCCTTCTTGGTCAAATAGCCCTTACACAGCCTGGAGGTGTGTTTGGGGTCATTGTCCTGTTGAAAAATAAATGATGGTCCAACTAAACGCAAACCGGATGGGATGGCATGTCGCTGCAGGATGCTGTGGTAGCCATGCTGGTTGAGTGTGCCTTCAATTTTGAATAAATCCCCAACAGTGTCACCAGCAAAACACCCCCACACCATCACACCTCCTCCTCCATGCTTCACAGTGGGAACCAGGCATGTGGAATCCATCCGTTCACCTTTTCTGCGTCTCACAAAGACACGGCGGTTGGAACCAAAGATCTCAAATTTGGACTCATCAGACCAAAGCACAGATTTCCACTGGTCTAATGTCCATTCCTTGTGTTTCTTGGCCCAAACAAATCTCTTCTGCTTGTTGCCTCTCCCTAGCAGTGGTTTCCTAGCAGCTATTTGACCATGAAGGCCTGATTGGCGCAGTCTCCTCTTAACAGTTGTTCTAGAGATGGGTCTGCTGCTAGAACTCTGTGTGGCATTCATCTGGTTTCTGATCTGAGCTACTGTTAACTTGCGATTTCTGAGGCTGGTGACTCGGATGAACTTATCCTCAGAAGCAGAGGTGACTCTTGGTCTTCCTTTCCTGGGTCGGTCCTCATGTGTGCCAGTTTCGTTGTAGCGCTTGATGGTTTTTGCAACTCCACTTGGGGACACATTTAAAGTTTTTGCAATTTTCCGGACTGACTGACCTTCATTTCTTAAAGTAATGATGGCCACTCGTTTTTCTTTAGTTAGCTGATTGGTTCTTGCCATAATATGAATTTTAACAGTTGTCCAATAGGGCTGTCAGCTGTGTATTAATCTGACTTCTGCACAACACAACTGATGGTCCCAACCCCATTGATAAAACAAGAAATTCCACTAATTAACCCTGATAAGGCACACCTGTGAAGTGGAAACCATTTCAGGTGACTACCTCTTGAAGCTCATGGAGAGAATGCCAAGAGTGTGCAAAGCAGTAATCAGAGCAAAGGGTGGCTATTTTGAAGAAACTAGAATATAAAACATGTTTTCAGTTATTTCACCTTTTTTTGTTAAGTACATAACTCCACATGTGTTCATTCATAGTTTTGATGCCTTCAGTGAGAATCTACAATGTAAATAGTCATGAAAATAAAGAAAACGCATTGAATGAGAAGGTGTGTCCAAACTTTTGGCCTGTACTGTACGTTAAAAAAAACACACACACACAGAAAAAAAAACATTATAAGACTATTAAAGGTGTATTAGAACCAGAATATATTTCAGGTTTGAGAGCCAGTGGCCACAGACCATCTGTTTGTAGGATGTTTTTTTTTAATTGTACTGGTTGGGAAAGTTTGTTAAGATTGTTTCTAATATTGCTAATGGTCTAATGCAGTGATACTCAACTTATGGCCCATGGTCCAAATCTGGCAATCTCGTGCCAGGTAGCCGCCATCCATTTTCTATTTCACAATGAAAATAAATTGATTTACACTGGGATTCTTTTTGGGACTTTGAATGTGAATAAAATGTCAATGTGTTTTTAAAAAGCAAAAAATAGAGTTTGTTCATTTAAAAAAAAAAGTGCCAGGGGGAGGTTGTGGCTGAGCCCTGAATAATCTCAAATCCTAGTGACACCCCATACTCACAGCAAATGTCGAAAGGTTGAAAACAGGTATTTATTCTATATACTGTTAAAAATGATCAATTAAATATCATTCATTTTTAGTTTATGTTTATAAACTGGGCCCTGGCCTCCTTACATTTTTTAAAAGTGGCCCCTTGGGAAGTTCAAGTTGAGTATCTTTGGTCTAATGGTATAATCGTCATTGCTTTATGTTATGAAGATAGTCAAATCACACTCAATTGATACCTCACCTTTACCACAAACCTTCTACTTTTATTAATTTATCAATTCCATCATTTTATATATAATTTAAAAAAAAAATTTGTTGTGCTTTTATTTTGAAGGCAATATCCCCCAGTTTCCTGTATTACGCTGGTTACGTCTGTCTAACTTGACTGCAGATCAGCTGCCACCTGCAATTGTGTAAACGTCGTTAATAGCTGCGCTGTCGGCACTTTTTCGGGATTTCCACTTCTCACTAACAATTTTATGCGCTAAAAATCCTCCTCCTCCCTGACTGTATAACGGTACACTGTATAATGACCCTAAATCGAGCCTTATTGTGGCAGGGCAGGTTGTTATGGCAATGAGGAGAGCTGATGGGATGCTGCTCGCATCCAGTCCGACAGAGGGAGAGGTGTGTGTGTGTGTGTGTGTGTGTGTGTGTGTGTGTGTGTCCGGTCAGGACGTGGCAGCAGTAAATTCGCAATGCACCAACTTGCTGACAACAACCATCATGCACCCATCACCATTTGGGGATCCCCAAAGGCGTCGGCATGGCTCAGCGCAGCTGCCCCGGGATCAGCACTGACCCCCCGGCTGCTGCTGCACGTTCACCTGGGTTTAACCAGCCCGCATAACACCTGGATTACAAAGTTTCAGTTTGCAGAGGAGCACTGATCCCCCTGGACTCTGACAGCTGCAAGCGCTGGGGTCAGCTCAGGCCGGGTTACTGCTCACACACACACACACACACACCAAGTCTGGACCTCTGGCGTTGTTAATGTGTGTGTGTGTGTGTGTGTGTGTGTGTGTAACACTGGAGGGAGGGAGAGAGAACAATGTGTTGCAGCCTCAGCTGCTCATGAGTATTCTGGCTGCAAACTACTGCAGCTCTTCCTCAGCAGCAACCAAGGAAAACTCTTCTCCCTCCTCCCCCACATCCCCGTCCACCTTCCTCCCCCTCCTCCTCATCCTTTACTCCAAGTCAGCACATCTGACCTCCCCTTGATGCAAGATGATTACCTAGCTGCAAAGGAAGGAGGAGGGGAGGCAGGGAGGCCATCAGAGAGATGGTTAAAAGGAGGATGAAGGTCGAGAGAGATGAAGGCATCGACTCCCTGTTTGAAGCTTAAACCCTGCCATAAATGTTATGTTATCATCTCATTGGCTGTGCACTAACATGTCAACCTATGTCATTTAATGACACGGTTCCCCTTTAAAGACATAAGATAATTTGACAGATCAGAAAGGCACAGACTGAGGGCTAATTCCATCACATTATCTCATCCACACACCGCTCAGGTCACTAACTACAGGCTTTTTTTACACAAGACACTTTGACATATCACAGTTACAAAAGCACGTGTATAATAAATAACATAGGCTAGATGATTGCTGACTCTCTGGTATTATACGTGCTGGCTCACTGTCAGCATGTCATGGCTTACTGGGACACTTGAGTAAAACAGAGCCAGCGTTAATGCTGTTAGTAACACCTGTGCTTTTTCTACTACGACATGTCAAAATGCCTGCTGTGAAAAAGGCTGATAAGGTATACTATTGCAAACAGTGAATGGGAGTCGATATGTAAGGAAGCACCATCCTTCTCAACAGCCGCTATTGACTTTTGCAGTTTAACATTATCCACAGAACCTCTTTCATCCCAGAAATATCCCATAAATAAATAAATAAATTTCATTTCCTTGCCCTGGATGTGAAACGAACATATATTAAAACAGTATTGGGATTTGATATTTGAAATTCTGAAAGGGATTATTGGGTTTGAGATCCCTTGTTGACCTCAACTAGCCAAAGAAAACCAAATCTCTTTGATTGATACCTACTGGTCTGGTTTCAGTAGTTACATGGGAAATATTTATTCTGTTTTTTATTATTTCTTTTATTATGGTCTTTGTTGGGTGGTGTGTGCGGGAAGGATTGGTCTTGTGGGATTATTATTTTGTTTCATTTTATTATATATTATAACGAAAAATAAGAATTCTGTGTCTTCTCCCGTAGACTGCTTTTTGTGCGACAAAATTCAGTAAATAAACTGTTAAAAAAGATCATTTCCAATGTTTCCCCAAGCACTTCATAAATCTATCTAGCTAAATAAAATCGTAGTGGGAGGTGTGGAAGAATGTATTATTTGCCTACATTTAATTAAGCTAACGGAGAAGCTTGTTTGGCAAAGAAAAACTCTTCAATTAGCCTTTTTTTGTGTGTTTTTCAAAGCTTTAGGCTAACCTTCCTTAGCTTCTAGGACTGTGATTCTTTGGCTCCACCTACAGGTTTTACGCAACTGATGAGATAATTTCTACCTCTGAGGAATATTTGTTCATGTTTTGATCTATACTCAAGGTATGTAGCAAGTATTAACTTTAAACCTGATTTTTTGGCCACTTGGGGGCAGCACAACAAGCTGGAAACTATCAACAAACAGCTGCTAAATAACATTGCTTTGAAGCCAGTTTTCCTAACAGCCAGACAGTGGAATTACAATTTATGGGTCTGTCATGTGATGCTACTGGCCCTGAAAAGGCTTTCCTTTTAGACTTACATGTCAAAAGAGACGTCTGTATATCATTGAATACATTCTTTTGAGTGTCACAACCTCTGCGAAATAACTCGTTTTACTATCAGAATTTGATTCATTAGGTCCGGTAACATTTCATGTCTAGAAAAGCCAAATTATTTCACCACCAATCAAATTAGCTAAAGGCTCAACTGTAAGTTAGCTACTAGCCAGCTAGCCAGCTAGCCAGCTAGCGTCTAAGCTTGTGAAAGTCTTTAGTGCGCCTGCTCTATGAACCCAATGATGCAAATGATACAGGTAAATTCACACTCGGAAGATCAAACTTTTTTTGGCTTTACGTGCCAATGAGCAACGAATGAACGGGACCCCACCTCGAACACTGTATCAGGTTATCTTTATACATCCATCCTGTTCTGTGCTGTGTCCGAAACTGTGTACTATGCGCTACATACCCAACATGTGTACGATAGTTCAGCATACTTTTGTCTACCTAAACAGTATGTATCTTTTTGGACGAGAGCATCCTTGCAATTGGAGATGCGCAACTATGGCGCCAACCAACAAATTTTTAAAAATACATCACGCCTAGCTAAATGAAATTGTAGACTTAAATGGAAACGTTATTGTCGTTACAAAGCAGTCTTGGTCTCTGTCCACCGTTGCACTGTGGGGTATGTATGTTAGTATAGACGTTCAGACGCAACCCTGACTTCTGAGGGAATGATCTTGCTCTGTAGCAGCTAAATGTTTCACAATGTTCACCTATAAATTGCTAACTTTTTCTTCTGCTTGATACTGGTTATGTAGCATACAGTCAGTTAATAATTGCTTTGTCACTGAAAATAGTTAATATGTCTGAAAATGGCACTCATGGGAGCCGCCAGAAAACCAAAACAATGAACTGAGAGATTCTCCGTGGAGCTGAAGGGCACTACAGAACTGGCTAGTAATTCTGTGGCTTTAGCCCTATGAGCCACACCTTTTATATAAATGTAGTCATTTGATCCATTGTATACATAAATATTTGTTATTGCAGCTTTAAGTTACATGAAAATACACACAGTTGCCAGTTTATTAGGTACACCTAACTAAAACTAATGCAGTCTTATACATCAGCCCTGCAAAAACTGATCAAGTCTGCATCGCCCTAAGGTTTTTCTGATGTTTTGTCCAGTTATTTAAACGCCTCTCAGTATACATTAACACAATCAACACCTTCTCTACAACAGCTGAAGCAAGAACTGAACATTATAACCTTCATAAAGGAACATTTAAGTTTAAGTTTATTTACTTTATTAATCCCCCTGAGGGGAAATTCAATGTTTTCACTCTTGCTTGTCAATTACACACAGGTCCGAAAGACACACACATGCACAAACAGGACCTATACATGCACAAAGTGGAGAGATGCCAGAGTGAGGGGGCTGCCCTTGGTCAGGCACCCCAAGCGGTTTTGGGGTTCGGTGCCTTGCTCAAGGGCACCTCGGCAGTGCCCAGGAGGTGAACTGGCACCTCTCCAGCCACCAGTCCACGCTCCATATTTGGTCCGGACGGGGACTCGAAAAGACAACCCTCCGGTTCCCAACCCAAGTCCCTATGGACTGAGCTACTGCCTTATTTATTGCATTGCTGTGTATAATACCACATTAGTTTTAGCTTGGAGCACCTAAAAAATGGCAACTGCTTGTACATCTTTTCAAGAAAACTGAATATGCTATATAATAGCCTCTTTTTCTGTGTACATTAGTTCATTGCAGAGTGGAGTTCGTCATTGGCTAAGCTTTATATTTACTGGTAAAAAACCCTGTGTACAGAAACTGAAGCTCATCCTCCACCACCGCAGGTCAAACCAGGATGCCTCCTCCAGGTCTGGCTGGTTTGTTTACAGCCAGATTTCATTTTTAAAATGATGATTAATGTGCAACATTCCCCGCAATATATGCCTTGTACACTGTTTCCCGTCCACAGCCTTTCACCCGGGGAGCTGTAACTCTCATCACACCAGCTCTTTCCATCTCCCTGTAATTGCTCTATCAATTCAGCAGAGGAGAAAAAAAAAAAAAAAACCCAACCCAAAATTAACTGCCCTGCATTGTGCATGCACAGCTCATTTAGCTCCCGGCGTAATGAGAGCCGTTGCGTAAAAGCACAATCAATTTCTAATGTGCCAGTTTACAGCACCCACCAGACTGACAGCTGAACCAATACACGACAAGAAGTTTAATGGTGTTTTGTGGAGCAACAGTCTACAGCGATGCATGATGGGAGAAACAGGACTCGAAAAGAGCGCCCGGAGCGGCTCGGAGCAATGAGTGTGTCAAAACTGTTCAGGGGAAATTGGCAGGGAGAGATGGAGGAGCAGGGATTGCTGGGGAGAAAAATTAAAGGTGACTCGGTGATGAACAGCTTTAGTGTTAAATAGAGAGGTCTGTCACAGCCTCGCAACACACAAACATGTACAATTAAATGTGTGTGTGTCCAGAGACACTGTCTGGGCTGCGATGAAGATACATAACTATATTACACACTTATTTCAAAGTATAAAAGCAGGCATCCTTTACAGTATTAGTGAATACATCCCCTTTCAGTAACACAAGCTTTCCCCCCATAAAAATAACTAATCATGCCCGTCGAACTGACATAAACGGCTAATCGACACTGCAGAGGCCTCCCTCCACTGTCTCATCGAGCCATTACGATCAGCAAGACGGTGCTCCACAGTGTCGGAGGCAAAGAACAACCCAACAGAAAATAAATCCTCAAAGAGCCATCAACATGATCTGCTAATTTAACATGTTCTATTAGACTAACACGAGAGAGCTATGAAGGAAACCCAGGGTACACAGCGTACTGTTCACAGATGAGCGTGAGAGGATGAAGGCTGCGCTGAAGAATAAGCTTAAACAGGACAGAGGGTGAAGAGTCACTTCATGCAGAAAACGTTATAGACGGGGCTGGTGACACTAGCAGCTGTTCTTCAGGTTTCAGAGGAACCGTGTCACTGTGGAGTGTTCTCCTCCTCCTCCTCTTCTTCAGATTCTTCCTGTTGACTTTTCTTCTGTGGAGAGGCAAATAATAATAAATAAAATGAGAAAGCCTGTGAGTTTATCTTCTCTATCTCCTTTAACTTTAGCTTATATTGGAGTTATGCTATGAAGCATGTGAAACAGAGTATGGTGAATGCGCTAGGAAAGGTAGTATCAACACTGTCTCTACCTGGAGCTCGTATGTACGGAGCCTGGGTTTGTTGAAGGTGGCAGTGCTGTTTGGGCTGAGAAAGCCATGTGTAAGTAAGGTAAAGGAGGTTATTGGGTTGGTGCAGGGAGCAGTGAGAGCTGGCATTAGGGGAGTGACTCTGGGACGCCAGATTATCACTGTCTAGCCCAACTAGACAAAACATTGGTGACAAGAGGTTCCCACCTGATGACCCCAAAGAAGATGTTAGTTATCACTGCTCACTGGTCTGTATAGTTAAGCCTTGCCATAATAGCTTATCATAGGGTTTAGGAGGTTATTCACTGAGTGCTGATCCTTTCTCTAGAGCACAAATTTCTTGTGTTTATTTGAACAAATGACTTCTGACCCCATTTGAGTATGTGGAAGGTTCACATTGGAAAAAAGACAAGAACGCCAACATAGGACAATTCTGAAAAACCCTAGATTACATTCAATGTCACCATTTTAATAGTCTTACTCTATTATATCTGCACACAGCATTGCCAGATGCTGATGGGAAAATTTACAATCAGTGGTTGGTCTCATTTCAGTCAATTTCTTGACATGATCAGATTGGCGAAATATGGATCCTTCGTCTGTGTTTTTGCATCTCTTCTAATGTGACCTCTTTCTAGCCTACCATGCTTGGTGTAGGCTATGATGCAAGCTCAGCATTACTATATGAGCTTGCTTAAAAAACACCAACAATGGGATAGATTTGTTGGTGTGTCAAAAAGATGTTTTATAAAATTACACATTTCCATTTTTTCTTACGATTATGACTTACGTGCAAAGATTTTGCTCAGTGACAATAATTTTAAGCCTCTGGTACAATATTTTATGATTTTCCATCTGGAAACCCTGTCTGCCCATGGCAACTACAGTGTGGTTTAACTCAGAAACCTTTAGAGTAAAGTAATAGCTGATTTTGTGACATACATATGTCTTCATGCACCACACCTCCACGTAAAATGACACATTCTCTGATCACTGTGGGCAGGAAATGGGATTAAGGAGCGACTCCATCACAAATATGACAGAAGAAGACAAGCAACCTGTGCTCTTTATAAATCTCTGTAGCTAAACAAATATGTTTCCTCTTCAAAATGCCCGGGATTTGTCATTGCGTAACTCACTGCACAAATTAGGTGCAGAGTCCTCCTAATTTCATCCAGTACGTACATGTTTTGGTTCCTGTGAATCCCTTATGCATCGGTACACCATTTAAAAGCACCATAGGAATGGCGGACCCTGCCACTGACAAAGCAAACTACTGTATAATGAAGCAAATAGTGAGTATAGATATACTTAATCCCAATCATGGAATCAAAAAGTGGGTTTGATTTGATGAAACTCTTAAGGACTGCAACTTTAAGGTTAGAGAACGTTTACAGATATGTTAAAGTTGTTATGGTGAGGCAACTGCAACGCTTAGTTATGGAAAGATTGTGATTATGGTTAAGAAAGAGGCCTACAGTATGTTAACTGCCAATCTGTGGTGGGACATGAACTCCAGGCTCCCGTATGAGTCAGACTTGGTACAGGCTCATCCACCATTTGTCGAGTTAATTCTGATGCTCGCCAAAATAAGACAGCCCCCCAGCCTTCTGTGGCATTGTGAAGCAACAGGACAATAGCTGCAAGCTAAATAAGCTCATGAAAAATGATCTGTACAAACAATATCCTACCAGTTTGAGGAAGTCGATGAGTTTGAAGGCGTCTTCTCCGGTGGAGAGGTCGACAAAGTCCCGTGGGATTCTGTAGCTCAGACAGGGACTGGGCTGCACCGTCACCTCGCTGGTGGTGCAGCGAAACGCCGGTCCCTCCTATACGTATGAAACAAAACGTCAGTTTTGATTCATTTATCGAAATTCAGCATCACTACTATAAAGGTCAAATACAAAGACTTTTCTTGCTGTCCCGCTACAAATTTCGTTTTTCAGAACAAGTGTGTCATGATGGCTGACCTGCTGCTGTGTGAGTTCGCCGCCAGATGTCAGCTCCTCCCAGGTGAACAGCAGCGAATCTGTCACCTCTCCGAACGGGTTCACGTCGATGAGCCACACCTTCCCCTGCAAAACACACACAAAATAGATAAGTGTAACTAAGGTTGCAAATGTCTTCTTTTTTTTTTAAATGCCTTTATCAAAATTCATCACTGTGCTTACCTGGCTATCTCTGTAGACATCAAACACAACTGTTAAACACAAAAAAACAAATATAGTTATCAAACATGTGTCTGCTAGTTTCACAAAGACACACCTAAAATTAAAAAAAACTTGAAATCATTTCTAAGTGAAAAATAACACACTGGATGTTTCCCTGCATTTTCTCCTGGCCCAGTATCCTGTTTACAACTATAAATATTAAATGACTTAAAAAAATGAAGCAATCTGTTTCTGTCTGAGCAGAGCTGGAGGAGGTGTGAAGCTGTCTACAGGCTAGAGCAAGAAAAACGGATGCTGGTGCTCACAGTCTTCGTCCAGGAAGTTGTACTGGATGTGCTGGCTGAAGAATCCCTGTATGGCGTGACAGATCTCCTCCTCCTGCTTCAAGACGTGCTGGTAATACTGAGTGTAGTCTCTCTGGGAGATGGCTGGGAACAGACACATACGCCATCAGTGGAGCTCAAATTGAATTTTATAATTGTTTCTAAATTAGCCTGCTGAGTAAAAGTACAGCTCGAACATCATTATTTCGCTGTAACATTGGAGGGTTTTTTTTCCCCAAACTAATTCCCTTTTTAGATATATTCAGCTTGGAGTGCCCTCTTGCTGTTTTGTGCTGTAAAACAATCCTGCATGTTTCCCTTGTTATAAGACGTGGTCACCTCTTCAGTGCAACGGAGATGTTACCATGAGTTTGTGCAGAGAACTTTGTTGTTCCTCACATGCCTCCACAGAAAACAGCGAACAGATTGATTTAGTATACCACTGGTCCCCAATCAATCACTGAATCAATATGTTTGCTGTTTTTCATGGAGGCATGTGAGAAAAACAAAATTTCCCTCATGAATTCAAGGTAACACAGCGTAACTAACTGATGTACAAATGGTCAATTTGTGAGTGAAGTGTTCCTTTTTTAAACGCAAAAGTAGCAATACTACAGTGTAAAAATACTCTGTAAGAGGTAAAAGCACTGAATTCAAAATGTTCCTGAAATGAACGTACAAAATTATTAGCATCAAAATATACTTCAAGGTATATATATACTTCAAATCTCTATTTGCTATAAAAAGATATAGTGGAGTTATGGCGTCCTGAGCAGAGAATGAAGCCGCACCCCCTCTTTGTGTTGTAATCTGAGCTTCTCTGTTATTTGTTGTTGTAAGCCAGTCTGACCTTGCCTGCATGTGAGTCCTTAGCCCCTTTTACACTGCATTTTCAAGGTGGGAATTTCATATTGTTATGCCGCCTTGCTGTTCTATATAAAAGGTATAATTGCGGAATGGGAGAAGTGGTCTACCCTTTAAGGTGGGATCGGAGGGGGGAACAGTGTAGAAACAAATTCTCTATAAACGGGACAGCCAACGGGACGAGATAGTGATCAGGATGACGTACTATGAGTGCGACCAACTGCAGGAGATTTAAAAAGTAGCTGATAGCAGTTAGCAGCTAACTCCAAGAAGAAGAACATTGTCTGAAAAATTGGGAAAGCAATGAGGTCCAGGAGTTCCTTATTGTCTGGGCAGAGGACGAGATTAGCCGCCATAAAACAGAGACAGTAAAATGATTGTTACTGCAATTCTTATTATTTATAGAGCACTGCAGTCGCATACGCTATAGGCCCAAACATACTCGGGCGGAACGTACGCGGAACGGACTCCGGCGAGGTCCGTGCGGACTCAAAGCGGACGTCCGCAAGCCCTGTGCACGCAAAGCTCAGATTTTACGACTGCGCGGACTCCGCTCCACCCACCAGTGACTACTTGGCATGTATTTTTCACATCGCGGGATTTTTCATGGACATTTTTACAGGAAACTACAAAGTGGAAGTGCGCTCGACTATGAAAGCCCGAATGACTGCGGACATTCCTCGTGGAGTCCGCTCCGCTAATAGTACACCTGAGTATGTTTGGGCCTTATACGTCACACTAGAGGCATACGCTGTTGTGTCACATGTCTCACTTGTCATGCCTCTTTTGATTCCTCAATGCTGACATGTTGTCTAAAATCACACACAGGAGCAAAATGATGCCACTGTCGTTTGGTTCCGTGTAAGTATGTAAAGGCGGCATAATGAAGGGACTTCATAGCGGCTCTATAGGACGATCTCTGTGTAAAAAGGGCTCTTGTGTGGGCGTCCCACTAGCTAGCTCATCACCGCCATTTTGCACTGCACTCATGCAGGGGACTAGGGCATCATGTAAACAAAGCGCCCACGCTCTGGTTCCTCCCCAACGGTTAACCCTGTTAGTTCTGTCGGCACTGTTACCATTGTTTAGTGCTGTTTTTGAAGTTAGCATGGTTAGTTGCAAGCTGCCTGCTCAGCCACATCTGTGCTGAGAGCCAAATCCAGACAAATCATACACTCTGAATTTTGCATTGTGCCCCTTTGATGTACCACAAGTACCACTTATACTGAATAATGTATGTGCATATTACTGGATTATAAATAGTGATGCATTATGCATCACTTTAATAAAGACTGGAAGGGCTGATAAAGGTGGAGCTGATTTCAAGTGATTGCTGGGTAGTTCAATGTAATCTATAATAATTACACATCATAATGTTTTAGTTGATTAAACCTGTATTATTAATGTGAATCTGCAAAGTCACTAAAGTTATCAAATAAATGTAGTGGAGTAAAGAGTACAACATTTCCCTCTACTATTTTGAAAATAATACGCTGATGATTATTTCAAAATAAAGACTGGTGAGTGGAGAATTTTTACCGATCAGTTTGTTTTCCTTGACGAAGCAGCGAAACTCTCCACCAGGAATCAGCTCGCTCCACTTCCTCAGGACCAGCTGGGGACAGAAGACAACACAGATAACATCCACAGGGGTGTGAGAGTTTGTACACAGAGAGCATTCGACCAACTGCAACATGGAGGAGGTGGTCGAGCTTTTGTCAGTGCATGATGGGACTTAAAAGTCAGTAAACACATGATAATGATATTAATATTAAGTTAAAAATACCTCATAGTTTATGACTGGATCTGGGGAGTCCTGGTCACTGCATACAAGAAATCTGCACAAAGAAATTAATAACATTTACAACCGTTAAACAGAAACAACAATGTCCTGTTTGGTTTCACTCTAATCGAATCAGTCACAGTTTGGCTGCTGCGTTACGCTCAGCAAGTTTGAGAGAGAAGTTTTGTAAAAGAGTCCAACAAACACGCATATATCACACTGCCTTCTCTACTCACACAAACAGTTTTCCCGAGGCTGTGCGCCGCAGTAAATCACTCGCCGCACTAAATGTTTGTCATGCAGAGTGCAGAGGCATAAATCTACATCGCAGCAATTTCTCCAGCTGCCACTTGTGTTTTACTGCAGACTGAAATAAGCTCACATATACCCAGCCTGGTTATTTTTTTGATATCAGTTGTCATCTAAATGCAAAATCTGTGTTTGTGTGTGGGTTGATGTTGTTGGATGGCGAGGCTTACGGCTGCGTGAGGTCGTGGGTGATGAAGTCTGAACTTTTGAAGAGCAGGAATATATCACTGAGGCTGTGACACTGCAGGGAACTGTTCAGAGCAATCCAGTTAGCATCCTGAAAGGGACACACACACACATACACATATACACACATGCACACACGCACACATGTTAAGTTATGCCTCAATCCTTCAGGCTGGCAGTGGTACAAGCAGCAACTCTATTCTTCAATGCACTCAAATGCATGGGGCTTTTCGCCAGCACATAATTGGGTTATGCTAAAATAATAATAAAAATAACTCATGTCGACACTTAGGTAATGAAATCAACTCTCTGCTAACTTGAAATGAAACAGACAAACATAGTGTTTTCTTTTTTGTCAAAGGAGCAGTGTGAAAGATTTATGGGGAATTAGTGGTCTCACAAAAGGGGCGTGTCTCTGGAAAACATAATGATTCTTAATCTTGGGTGATTATAGACCCACAAAAAGTCATACTTATTATATTATATTCCATTTCTGCCAATATATCCCCCTAAATCCTCCACACTGAACCTTAAAAGCAGCTGAGTGCAGTATTGTACCCGTGGGGCGCTCCAGTTAAGTTTGGGAAAGACACGTCCACCCAGGGCGTTTATGGCCTCCAGCACTTTAGAGTTGAATTCTGGGAACTCCGGAGCCTAGCAAACACAAAGCCACATAATTACACAGTGATCATAATTATTGCATTGTTTAATGATATGTATGAGGTGATGCATTACTGCAAAGAGCAGTAATGCACCATAAAAGTGAGGTGGAATACTTCATGCTCATGTAAATGGGGGTTTCAGACATAAAAAAATGTTTTATCAGGTAAGAAATAAATTAAAGGGACAGTTCACCCCCTTTAAAAACATATTTTTCCTCTAACCTGTAGTGCTATTTATCAGTCTAGATTGTTTTTGTGCGAGTTGCCAAGTATTGGAGATATCAGCTGTAGAGATGTCAGCTTTCTCTCCAATATAATGGAACTAGATAGCACTCAGCTTGTGGTGCTCAAAGTACCAAAAAAAATACATCTGAAAAACTCAACAGCAATGTCTCTTTTGAGCACCACAAGCCAAGCACCATCCAGTTCCATTTTATTTGAGAGTAAAGGCAGACATTTCCATTACTTGGCAACTCACACCAAAACAATCTAGATTGATAAATAGCACTACGGGTAAGAGCAGAAACATGTATTTTTGATTTTGGGGTGAACTGTCACTTTAAGAATATGAGGTAATGAGAAACACTGAGTGTACTTACAGTGACAGTGCTGGTTGTCTCATCATCTGACCACTAGAGGGAAGTAGAGAGCATGAAACAGGATTGGAGAGTAAACATCAACATGAAAATACAGTTCTAATTGTTGACTTCATTCTTTCACTGTTGCGTTAGTGCTATAAAGTTGTGGCAGCACAAAAAAAGGTGATGTCATAAGACAGCTAATTAATGAAGATAATATGTTGACATCGCTCCCTGATAAAAGTCTCTAAAAACAGACTACAAAAAATGCATTTACTCACTAATGTTTCAGTATAAGTCAACTCCTCATTTTTACAAAGTGTATTATATCTCAGAGTTTCCTACTTTCAAGTAGCTGTGGCAGGCAAGCATGAAGCTGATAACCTAAAAACTCTTCAGAAGAGGTTTCAGTGCCCCAAGGATGATCTATGTGCCACTTCAGAATTTGGCCTTTCAGCAAATTAAAAACCAGTCACAAATAACTGCACAAATATCTAGTGTACATAATAAAAAGAAGTGACAATGTGATTTCTTAAATTATAGCAGAATTCTGATCCTTTTCGTGCAAATCTGTAACACAAGACAGGATGAATACTGTAGGGAGCTTCTACTGGACAAACAACCTTAGTCTCTGCTGCCGTACCTGAATGTCTTCCTCTGCGTCCGAGTCGCTGTTGTTAGTATGTGTCTGCTGTGTGTTATGGTCACTGAAGGGAGGAAAAACAACAGATGAGTACTGGTCAATTTAGCAACTGCATTGGGCACAGAACAGATGTGGAATCATAATGCACACAGAATTGAAGATACCCTGTGCACAGGCATGCCTCTCTCCTGGGGCCATCCAGTGCCAGAAAAACCATATGAACCAAAAAGGAAATCAAAATTCCAACATACAGGATACTCAGATTGATACTTAATTTGTTGACAGCTTACATTAAAAACAAAAATAGGAGCAAACTATGTGTTTCACATATTACTTCATCAGATTTGCTCTGTGCTTTATTGCCATCATGTGTGCCTTTGAAATAATCATGTGCTGCTGAGCAAAAAAGTGAAACAGGTGCTGTAATTCTACTACACAAAATTAATTTCAACATAAATATTACATTTTACATGATAATAACATACAATTAATATACAAGTACAACTGAGGATGAGTTCAGGGTGTCTGCAGGTATCAGACAGTTAAATTTAATGTGTTTTACGACCTGTTTAACACACCTTTTTTAACCAAATCTAGGACAGATAAATCATGTTTTACTCATTTAAGCATCGACAGTAAGCACTGCAGGCAAATAGTGGTTATGTGATCTTGTGCAGAGGTTAGTGTTATGGTTATTATAGTGAGTAAAGTCAATCTACATTTTGCCAAAAGGTAAGTGCAAGTAGGAAGCAAAGTGATAGTATTATAGATTTTTAAATGTTTGCAACATTAGAAATGTGGACTTTTACACTGAAAAGCTTCACTCATTTTCACAAAAAGAAATTTAAAAAAAATGATAAATGAAATTAGATAAACTGTAGTATTTAAGACCTCACATATTCAAATGTAAGACTGTGTAATGACTTGTATGGCCTTATTGTTGTAACAAGACATTTTAAGACTTTTTAAAGACCTGCAGACACCCAGGAGTTGATCCAGACGGCATACATGTCCATAGAGATACCATTTATAAAGAACAAACGCATTAATATTCTAATGATAATGTATCAAAAACTAGTAGAAAAAAAGAACTGAAATTGTATAATTTCAAGACACCAGTAGGAGGCGAATATTATTTACAGAGAAGTTCTAAAATATACAGTACAGGCCAAAAGTTTTCTTTATTTTCATGACTATTTACATTGTAGATTCTCACTGAAGGCATCAAAACTATGAATGAACACATGTGGAGTTATGTACTTAACAAAAAAAGGTGAAATAACTGAAAACATGTTTTATATTCTAGTTTCTTCAAAATAGCCACCCTTTGCTCTGATTACTGCTTTGCACACTCTTGGCATTCTCTCCATGAGCTTCAAGAGGTAGTCACCTGAAATGGTTTCCACTTCACAGGTGTGCCTTATCAGGGTTAATTAGTGGAATTTCTTGCTTTATCAATGGGGTTGGGACCATCAGTTGTGTTGTGCAGAAGTCAGGTTAATACACAGCCGACAGCCCTATTGGACAACTGTTAAAATTCATATTATGGCAAGAACCAATCAGCTAACTAAAGAAAAAGGAGTGGCCATCATTACTTTAAGAAATGAAGGTCAGTCAGTCTGGAAAATTGCAAAAACTTTAAATGTGTCCCCAAGTGGAGTCGCAAAAACCATCAAGCGCTACAACGAAACTGGCACACATGAGGACCGACCCAGGAAAGGAAGACCAAGAGTCACCTCTGCTTCTGAGGATAAGTTCATCCGAGTCACCAGCCTCAGAAATCGCAAGTTAACAGCAGCTCAGATCAGAGACCAGATGAATGCCACACAGAGTTCTAGCAGCAGACCCATCTCTAGAACAACTGTTAAGAGGAGACTGCGCCAATCAGGCCTTCATGGTCAAATAGCTGCTAGGAAACCACTGCTAAGGAGAGGCAACAAGCAGAAGAGATTTGTTTGGGCCAAGAAACACAAGGAATGGACATTAGACCAGTGGAAATCTGTGCTTTGGTCTGATGAGTCCAAATTTGAGATCTTTGGTTCCAACCGCCGTGTCTTTGTGAGACGCAGAAAAGGTGAACGGATGGATTCCACATGCCTGGTTCCCACTGTGAAGCATGGAGGAGGAGGTGTGATGGTGTGGGGGTGTTTTGCTGGTGACACTGTTGGGGATTTATTCAAAATTGAAGGCACACTCAACCAGCATGGCTACCACAGCATCCTGCAGCGACATGCCATCCCATCCGGTTTGCGTTTAGTTGGACCATCATTTATTTTTCAACAGGACAATGACCCCAAACACACCTCCAGGCTGTGTAAGGGCTATTTGACCAAGAAGGAGAGTGATGGAGTGCTGCGGCAGATGACCTGGCCTCCACAGTCACCGGACCTGAACCCAATCGAGATGGTTTGGGGTGAGCTGGACCGCAGAGTGAAGGCAAAGGGGCCAACAAGTGCTAAACACCTCTGGGAACTCCTTCAAGACTGTTGGAAAACCATTTCAGGTGACTACCTCTTGAAGCTCATAGAGAGAATGCCAAGAGTGTGCAAAGCAGTAATCAGAGCAAAGGGTGGCTATTTTGAAGAAACTAGAATATAAAACATGTTTTCAGTTATTTCACCTTTTTTTGTTAAGTACATAACTCCACATGTGTTCATTCATAGTTTTGATGCCTTCAGTGAGAATCTACAATGTAAATAGTCATGAAAATGAAGAAAACGCATTGAATGAGAAGGTGTGTCCAAACTTTTGGCCTGTACTGTATATCTTAAACATGGGAAGGGAGGGAAAAAGGGATTGTGCTCAGGAGGGGGTCACAATGCACACTTACATGGAGAAAACATGTGCTTTGAAATATGCTACTGTGAACATAACTGCAGGGTCAATCTGTAACATCACTTGTGTGCTACAAAAACACATTTAACTGTGTGATGTTTCTAACACACAGCAAGTGCCATTAAAATATCAATATAGGAGCAGCACTCTGAGATGGAGCTCAACTTTGGCATGCTTTCACATTTATTCAAACAAAGGCAACTTGAGCAGAATTTGTATGTGTGCGTGTGTGTGTGTCAGTGGCATCTTACCTCCCAGAGACTACCAGTGTGCCATCGTCCAATAAATATTCTATTACATTCTGAGGCAGTGGGAGAATCTGACTGCAATGAAGAGGAAGAATAGCACATGTAAATACTAGAATAAATACCAGACAACAGACGTGAGAGGAAGACTGAGGTGCGAGGAAGCTGCTCTGAAAAGGATTTAAACAAATATGTAGTGACAGACAAGATAAATATAAAGATTGGCAATAAGACAGAGATGGCAGCTAGCTGTTATCTGTCTGGTAGCTAACGTTAGCTGTTGGCTAAATGTACTGGGTTTTTTTAAGATACAATAATTACAATATGTCCGGGAATATCTTTACAAACGTCGGCTGTCTACCTTTTAATCGTGTGTTTCTTGAATATCGGATACCAAACCGAAAACTGACAGTTGACAACTTGCTCCTTCTTCATGCTGCAATATCCTGTAAAAGAAATGTGTCCATCAGTAAATATCTTCCGGTCCTCTGATATTTTGGAAAACATCGAAGCCGAATTCTCATTCAACACCTCAAAATTTTGAGACAATACAGCTATCTATTGGCTCTTTCGTGAATTAAATTTATTAGAATCAAAGCAAATTATTAAAAACTCACATTTTTATGGCTAGAATTATGTAATATATTTGTGTTTACAGAAGGGGAAGCCTTTTTGAAGTGCACAATGTGGGCGTGGTCTATGAAAAACCGCTGATTTGAGACAGAGATCGTTTATTAAAATGAGGACTCACTCAGTACCTTTAAAAAGACAAGCGGAACGTCAGTTTTCATCCACGTCTTGGCTGTGTGTTGCTGCTGTACGTGGTCTTTGTGTGTTCCATGTAAACTGTATTTGACACTGTATTTAGTGAATATATAAAATAAAATAAAATAAAATAAAATAAAAAGCATGACCAACAAGATGGGAGCCAATCTTTTCGGATACCAGCCAACATTTTTGCTGTCAAATAACCACATTAATTTGTTTAAATTATCTAAAACTCCAGAATTATCCAGAAACGTTGCGTAAAGTAGCAAAACATCAGTGTCCCAAGTCACAATAGGATAAAACTACACTCCGATGACGTTTGCGGTACCCGGAAGTGGTGACAGAGTGACTCATCTGCGCTTTATCACCATCTCTACCACAACTACTACAGTTTGGAGTTCACGTGAGTCCAGTTTAGTTTGTTCATTTAAAATGATTATTTTAAAGTTTTTAAAGCACAAGTACTGGACACTGGTAGCATAATGAAGTGTATAGCCGCTAGCTGCAGTAAAATAAACAAAGTCTCGAGTAGAAATGGTGAAATGTAAGGCGGGAAGTTGAACCTAGGTTAGCGTCGCCTGTGGCTGTAGCAGCTAACTGAGCGACTCAGGATCAGAAACGTCTCGTCAGTCCTGTCATGGTGTTTATAACTCTGTGTTTTGTTCTCTTGTTGAGCTCATAGCGAACTGTGTTTTAACATAAGTGTTTGGACTCGACTTTCCTCCAATTTCAGTTGTCCAGATACTGAAGATGAGCAACTGTGAGGAACCCAAAGTGAATATTACTCCACACATAGTGAAGGAGGAGGTACGTCTGATTTTATTTTGTGTTTCAGTGAGTTATAAGGGATGTGTCTGGACAAACTCAATGAAAGCTGCCTTAAAATGCTCCACATGAGCACTGACTTAAAGCTGTATTATCCATTGGCAGTTTTAGTAGCTACGTCTGAGAAATCTAATCCAATTTAGTACAATACAGAGCAATGAATCCTGTTGTTGTGAAATTTAGGGACTGTTCTGTACTTGTCAGAGTAGGAGGGTGGCTGGGTTGTGACTTTATTTTATTATTATTGTGTTTTTTTACAGTTTCTGGCTATGATAAATGGTGTCGTTTTGGTGATTTCTAAAGAAAACATGACTAACACCAGGTTCACACTGGACAAAGAAGCGCTGCAGAGTGCGCTGATTTTCCGTGTAGTTCTGCCCCCTTGCTTTTGGTGCCCATGTTAACCAATTGGGCTGTGTACACTGGAGATGATCAGCAGCGATGGTTATAGAGTCTGATCTATATTTTCCGTGAGTCTTGAGCAAATCTCTGGCAGGAAAACACACTGAAAATGTGTTGTATATGAAGTATATAAATATATATAAATATATATTAAAAATGACATAAATGATCTGACTATATTAAATAATATAATATGCATCTCATGCTTCCACATATTTGTCAGAGCTGTGTCTAAACAAGTAGTGAGAGAGAGGAGCAGAGACACACACATGCGCACACACAAGCTGACAGAGACAGAGCTCTGCATGTGATATAAACAGAGCAGAGTGCAGAATCACTTGCTGACCCGCATGGAAAAATGCGCTACTGGTGTGAATGGCCAAGCGACTGCTAACAATCAACAAATCTGGGCACTTCTGCGTTCAGTGTGAACCTGGTGTTAGGCATGTTTTCTTTAAAATCAGTGTTAAATACAAAATACAACTATTTAAATTTGTAAACCCCTCCCCTATGCCAAAATAAAAAACACAAGTCCCTTCCCAATGCTTAAAAGATTATTTGACATGCTTCCCCCTTTTTGCACAGCCCTTTCCTCCCTCATGAATAATGAACGGTCCCTTATAATGTTCAGTTTTGTTGCGGGTCTAGTTAGTGTTGGACTTCTTTACAGAATCAACAAATCTCTGACAAATGTTAAGTAACACTGAAAATTACAGCTACAAGCTTTTTTGTATCAGATTCCATTGTGTTGTAGAGACTTGTCCAAAGACCTGATGACTCTCTTCATAGTAACAGTTTCATCACAGCATAACAAAACCATTTGGTGCCATTTAAGTGATCTTAGCTCAGTGTGTTGTCTGTCTATGTTGTAGCTCATGGCAACAGGAAAATGGGTGAAGCTGGAGAAGACGACATACGTGGATCGTGCTGGACAAACCAGGTACTGTTTTGTCTGTGACTGACATGCCCTTACGATCACACAGTTGGCTCCGTGTGGTTAAATTTACTTATTGTAAGTTATTAAAATAAAAGCAATGTAATGTTACACGCTTTCTGGATGCAGTTTCACTCCATGTTTTCATCCACCAGAACCTGGGAGACTGTGAAAAGGACAACGAGACAATCCAACACAGACGCAGATGGTGAGCTGCTCAGTCCAGTCGGACTTGCATTGACAGTTAGGTCAGAGGTGTATTTGTGCCGGCTGTAACACGCTTTTCTTTAGGTGTTGGAATTATCGCCCTGCTGAAGCGGACGCTCCATAAAGACTGCGTGGTGATGGTGAAGCAGTTCCGTCCCCCTATAGGATGCTACACTCTGGAGTTTCCTGCAGGTCAGAAGCGATTTGACAATTTGACACCCAGCTTTTAATGTCATGAAGTTTTTTTTTCTTCAGGCCCTGAAAAATTTGATGTCTTTCATTTTCCCCCACACAATGGGGCTACTGGGACTTTTGTAAACTATTGATACTATAGTATATCTGTTTTTGTTTCTGCTGTTCTCAGGGTTGATTGATGAGGGGGAAAGTGCAGAGGCTGCTGCCCTGAGGGAGCTAAAAGAAGAAACCGGCTACAAAGGAGAAGTAGTAGGAGTCACTCCAGGTACCCTCAAACACACATAACCTAGTATGATTGCATAAGCTGCCCCTCTTTTTGCTGTATCTTATCTCCTGTGTGTGTGTTGGAGAGGCTCAGGGGTCAGAGGTGCAAATTGGGAAAGAAGAAACATACAGTACTAGTATTAATGTAACTGTTTTTATGGCAGTGACTTGTCTGGACCCCGGTCTGTCCAACTGCACCACCCAGATCGTCATGGTCAACATCAACGGAGATGAGGGGGAGAACATCCACCCAACGCAACAGCTTGGTGAGGAGACAGACAGGATCCATTCACTGATTCCTACTCACTGCTCTAATTAAACATTTACTCGTGTACTCTTTTACCTCTTGTATACATGCTGCAATTCCTTTTACATGTTGGCTAATTCAGTTTCTCACCCATTGCTTCAACCAATCATTTTCACTCAATGTACCCAATGCAAAAACCTTGCAAACAGATTTTCCCTCCATTGGCACATATGAGAGAACATGTCAAAACAAACAGAACACCCACAGATACATTTTCTTATTTGATGTTGGCAAAACAGAAGTGAAAGTGTTTCAGCTAAAAGTCACTGTCAGCGTGATCCATCTCTTGTAGGACTGCTGTTGGGTTGCTTCTTAGAATCTTTTGGGGTCCCTTCTATATTATGATCCCTTATTGAGATTATTTATATTACATATATATTTATTCTTGGTATCTAATCTTGTAATTTATTTTTGACCGCATGTGTACGATATATTTTTCTGGGCTCAAAACAGTTTAAGTTAGTTGACAGGGTCATATAGTTTTCTATTAGTTTCCTTTCACATGCTTTTCATGCGCAAACTTTTTTGTAGATGCAGTTTTTCTTTTATTTCATATTTTTCTTATACTCCTGAGACTATATGACTGTGTCATATAGCTCCGTATCAAATTGCTATTTATAGTTGTTTAATTTGGACTGGTTATATTTACATTGCATAAGTGTTTATTCTGGACATCTTTGCTGTGACATTTTTCTATGTCCTCTGAATAATTCACACTATTTGAGCTAACAGGATCATATAGCTCTTAAATTATTTTTATGCATCCGTGTTGGCAATAACCATGGCCAGAGGCATAATGTTTGGGTAGTCCATCTATCTGTCTGTCCCATTCTCATAAAGGCGACATCTCAAGAGCACCTTGAGGGAATTCTTCAAATTTGGCACAAATGTTCACTTGGACTCAACAATGAACTGATTAGATTTTGGTGGTCAAGGGTCAATGTCACTGCGACCTTGTCTGTCTCGCTCTTGTGAAAACAGTATCTCAAGAATACCTTAAGGATTTTTTTTTTTTTTTTCTCAAATTTGGCACAAACATCCACTTGGACTCAAGGATGAGCTGACTACATGTTAGTTGTCAAAAGTCAAGGTCACTGTGTCCTTATGTCAGTCTCATTCTTGTGAATGCAATGTCTCAAGAAGGCCTTGAGGGAATTTCCTCAAATTTGGCACAAATGTCCACTTGGACTCAGCAGTGAACTGATAAGAATTTGTTGGTCAACGGTTGAGGTCACTGTCTAATAGGATAAAATTATGAAGCGATGGCAATATATATTTAAAAGGCAGTGCTCGACAGTGCGAGCGTTTCACTCACATTTGCGACTAAAAATAGGTGTGTGCGAACTGTAAAAAATATTTAGGGGCACATGTGCGCATAAAAAAATCAGCCGAAGCAGCCTATATTTTCGTCAATAAAAAAATATGATAATCTAACCGCAAATGTTGGAGGAACTCCAGCCGCCTTCCCTCTTCCCTCTTCCCCGCTTGACACGGTTATGGGCGGTTTTCCAAGCCACTGTCGGCACAATGAATATAAGTCCCACTATCGGCAGGGTGGAAATAAGTCAAAGTGTGGAGGAAGCGGCAGACCTCCGGGGAAGCCTGCTCCGTTCTCCCCGCAGTTAGGGACCGTTCGCCATGGTACCACTGCTGGGCAGGGTGGAAATAAGTCCTGCAGCGTTTCAGAGGACCTGGAGAATGTTTTAGGATAGTAATAACATTATATAAGATAATCACATTGCAAAGATAATATATATAAGATAATAACATTAAAGACAAAATTAAACTGCAATACTTTTTCAAAACTTGATGATTTTACCTTTCTGTATATTTTGTATGCAAATTCATTAAATAATTTTGCTTGGCTGTCGGGTGGGTGGAAATAAGTCAAAGTGTGGCAGAGAAGAGGGACCGGGAAAAGCAGTGGACCTCCGGGGAAGCCTGTTGTGTTCTCCCCGCAGTTAGGGACCGTTCGCCAGGGTACCGCTGCTGGGCAGGGAGGAAATAAGTCCTGCAGAGTTTCAGAGGACCTGGAGAATGTTTTAGGATAGTAATAACATTATATAAGATAATCACATTGCAAAGATAATAACATTAAAGACAAAATTAAAATGCAATACTTTTTCAAAACTTGATGATTTTACCTTTCTGTACATTTTGTATACAAATTCATTAAATAATTTAACTTGTAAATGTCTATTTGCATCACATTTATTACGGAAAACACATTATTTGATCAATTTACATTGTGCCCCTAAAGTTCTTTGTTTCTCCTTACTTTTTCAACTTAGGAGCACATGTGCTCCTTGGGAAAAAAGTTAGCCTCAGGCCCTGAAAGGTCAACTTCACAGTGACATCATGATATTCGGTAAAAACACTTTTCTGGCTCAACGTCATATTTCAGGAACAGAAGGGGAGACGTTTGGTCAGATAGATTGTTGTTTCTGATTGTTGCGGACATACCTCTCACTGGAGAGTGGCTGTAACTGGGCGGTTCATTCACAGATGGATCCCTATTATGTAATTTTGTATACTCTAAAGTGACGTTTGAACCTCATCTCTTCATACGAACTGCTATTTCTGCTTGTTTGATTATACTGACAATGGCTGTAACGTAAAAAAATGTTGACTAATTTTGTTCTCTTTTATTCTTCCACAGGTGATGGAGGTGAGTTATTTTCCACATTATATCCAAAATAATCATTTTCTCTCATAAAGCAAACCATCACACATGCCTTCATTCTCTCTCTGCAGAATTTGTTGAAGTCATTCTTTTACCTCTCGATGAATTCCAGACGAAAATAGATGGTGAGTGATGTTGTTGAGAGCGATACAAGCATTCGGACACACTCACTAACTCACGTTTGCTTTATCCATCAGTTCTGCTGAAGAAAGAAAAAATCGTGGTGGACTCTAAAGTGTACATCTTTGCCATGGGGATGGTTCAGGCCTTCTTTAAGCCGAGGGAGCTCCCCATCCTGAAGCAGTGACAGAGAGCATCCAGGATGAGGATGAGAGGAAGAAAGAGTTGTTTCTGTTACATAGGGCTCCTACACAGGACTGGGAAGAAGGAAATATAGGGCTTCCCAACTGTAATAAGGAATTGTATGAAAAGATGTTGTTGCATTGTGGTTTTAGACCTTTTGTAACCTCATGTTTTAATATTTGCTCCTATGATCATCCACAGAGCAGTGTGGGAGTTAGGCGAAGCTGTGTGTAAATCACACTAAACACATTCAAATTATGAAATGGAAGTCTTGAAAGCGAACCTATGGAGGAGCCCTGTTAACACTACTGTGTACTGGACCACTTTTTCTCAGTACAGAGGTACTATCACACACCCTAAGGCCCGGAACATACTCTGGTGGGGCCAAATCTTTATTGTTTGCACTTAACACAGAATATGTTTCCGCCTTTAGTCTTGAATGCCTTACATGACAGATGACAGTTTTTATGAGATTAACATTTAGTTTGACGAGATGCGGTTTGTTGAGATTTTTATCGAGTGATCGTGAGACATTCCTAATGTACTGTTTTGACCAAACAAATCAACCTCGAAACACCTTTCCTGTTGAAAACTGGCTGTTGCAGAGGTGCGGTGCAGTTCTTGCTACATTTAGTTTGGTGTGTTCTTCTTTTCTCATGGATAATTTCATGCAGACTCACATCCTGTGTCTGGATTTTGTCTAAAGGCATCCTGGGGACTTAAGAAACTCGCTGACTTTAGAGGAAATCGATTAAAAAAAAATCTAAAAAAACATGCATTGTGATGATGGTTACTTATAGTTTTGATTGGTATATTAACAACAGTGTTAACAATCAAATGATGGATTTTTCCTGTGTAACTCAACTGTAATGTACAATAGATTAACTCTAAGTGATTAATAGGATAATAACTCATGCTGTGTCCCCGATCCCATTGTGGTGAAATTAACTGGATATTGATGCTGTACTTACCTTGGCAACTAAAAATAACTGACCAATGAATAAATAGGATACAACCTTTGCTCTTACCTGAATCCGTGTTTCTGTATCACACTGACATGTCAGCAACAACTGAGCAAATGATAGCAGGGAAAGACGTTTCTTAAAGTGCATGTGCATGAGTTCATGTTTATTATTTAGTCTTGATGTACTTTACAAAGGGCATCCTGGACTTTCTAGTGATGTAACACACAAGGGGGTGTGACCAATAAACACATCTGTCTTTTCAAAAAGAGGGGAATTGCACATGCACGTTTAAATGGCAGAAGATGACATTATTTACACCCTACCTAGCGACCATTTAGGCTTAGAAGTGACACGTAAACTAGGGCTTCGTAAGTTTTAGCTATTTAGAAAATACTATTTTTCTTGCACATGCACACACAGAAGCACACACACAATGTGAAACCACTTCAAAGCATGCACAATACTTTTTATATCACATTTCATAAAAGTTAATGTAATTAAATAATAAAATGTAAGTGTACTGTAAGTTACTGTGATTAAATGTATGTTTAATGTGAAAGACTGACCCAGTATCCACTAAGAAGAATTGTTATAAATTGTTATAAATTATAATAAATATAAAAATATCTTTGTGACATGTTTCTCATACCCCAATTACTAAAAGTATTTTTAAAAAGTTCAAATTTTATTTCCCATGAGTCTCAGGAAAATATGATGTGATATGCGATGGACTTTCTTCAATGGACGACTCACCCAAAATAATAAACCCTGGTTATATGTTTTCATTACTGCACCTTTCACTTTGTTATCGCCATTAAAATATTAACACATTTTACACACCTAAGCTTCATCACCACAGAACATTTAATACTTGATTTGCAAACTTTGTTAAAAACTGCTCACTTCTTACCTCAGTCCAGTAGGTGGCGATAATGCCCCTTTAAGCTGGTATGTCAACCACCAATAACATTAAACGAAGAAGAAGCGCCGGCCAATCCTGTGGCTTCTTGACCAACACAAACACTTGAAAACCTTTCCTCAAATCATTACAAGCTAACTCCGACGCCTTTATTCCAGCGAAAACTACGACAAAAATGTCAGCGTCAGTAAGTTAATATAGAGCTGCTACATTTAAGTTTCGAAAAAGTTCGTGCTTACAAACTCAAGTGAGACGTAGTTAATGTTAGCATAAGTACAAATAAGCTAGCAGTTATTAGCACTAAAGGTTAGCGACGACGGTTCATATCTGAATTTTTGTGCAAACTACGACGATGGTATTTCTGCTTAACTTAAGTTTGACTTTGCCCACAGCAGACTCAGACATATTCTCTCTCTGTAGCGCCAAGTGACCTAACGTTAGATTTGTGACTGAGATGCGAATGAGCTGGACACAACGATGGAGATGGCTGTTAAAGGTGAGTTAAAAGTTGAGGAACTAAACGTGCTGCGTGTGTCAGCAGCGGGAGACCGTTAAAATAACTTCATACATGTATACGCTGCATAAAATAGTATTTAGTGAAGTTTGAATAGAACATTCGCATCTGAACTCAATAAGGTTAACGGATGGTAACACTAAACTGTACTTACTAATGGTAATTTTGAAAACTGCCATTGACATAAAAGGACAAGTTTGGTGTGGTGCTTAAGGAAAAATAAATCAGTGAAGTAAAGAAGGGAGAACCAATTAATGATATGACTGGCTGTTAAAAGTCAAAATGATAATGCACAGTACAAAACTTGAATGTTTGTCTAACTCAAGTACTTAAAGATACTTTTTTGGGCATTTTGCCTTTAATGGACAGGACAGGTAAGTGTAGGGGGGATGACATGCAGCAAATGGCCACAGGCTGGATTCGAACCTGGGCTGCTGCGGCAACAGCCTTGTACATGGGGCGCCTGCTCTACCCACTAATCCACTGATGCCCCAAACTCAAGCATATTTAAGACTAAAAGTGTACAGACCATTACAGAAAGGAAGAGTAAAAATTGTCTGGCACTGCATAAAGACAATCCTAATACTGTGGTTTGATGATTGTTGTTTTCCAGGAAAGGCCAAGAGGAGGCATTTGACTGCAGAGGAGTGTGATGATCTGGGACAACATGCAGAGGGCACTAATGCCCTCACCCAGCCCCTCATTGTCAACCATGTGCAGGGCAATCGCGACCCCAACCGGGGGCTTTACCCCAGGACACCCACCAAGCGACGGAAGTGTGGTAATCTGCTCTAAACCTGTGTTATACATTCATATTTTGTAGCATGTCCTAAAATTCATGTCAGAAATGGAATCTTTGTTCATCCACTCTCCTTCTGTAAACCATCAGCATCTGTCCCAGGAAGTCCTGCCGGCCAACAGAGAGGCATCAACAACTTCTTCTCTGTGACAGGAGTCATCAGCTCCAGTCCGCACAAATCCTCCCAGCCCTGCTCTTCCACTTGCACAAATAGACTCAACGGAGAACTTTTTCCTAGTGAAGGGCCAAAGGATGTGAAATTAGATGAGGAGGATGACGATGTCAGCCTGCTAGCTGCCGCATTGGCGGCAGAACACGAAGCAGAGGAGGATGAGGTTGACGATATGAGCCTTTTAGCTGCTGAGATGCAGTCACAGCCTGAAACAAAGAAGGAGAAAGTGGTGGATCATTTGGAAGGAGTGACAGCAGAGATGTTTGGGGATGATGACGAATTTGACCAATGTGACATTCTCAATGAGGAAGAGGAGGTGGAGGCCCTACCTGATTCCCACTATGGACTCCTGGGCAGCAGCAAGGCCCTGCTGGTGCCGCAGGGCTGCATGGACGACCTTCCAGAGGAGGTGCTGAGACAAATACTGTGCCTTGTCCCTGCCCAGGACCTCTACCGCAGTGTCAGCCGTGTCTGCCATCACTGGAGGAACATCGTCGAGGACACCAAGGTTAAACAAAACACAGATTTACATTAAGTATGTATCAGCAGCTGGGTGAGGGGGCTAATGTTGAAGTCAGGTAACAGTATGTTTGAGAGATTAACCGTATAGTCCTACTCAAACTTAGTGATAAATTGAAGTTCACCAAATTAACATAGTTGTTGTGGATGTTGTGTGTTCCATTTTGTAGTTTGTCCCCTACAAAAAACAGTACTTCCGCTACATGATGAGGGAGAAGGTAACAATGCTGGAGATCCTCTCCATCCTGGAGAACAGCAGCATAACGGATCCAGCATCATCACAACACAGCATACGATACCTTGTTGCGTAAGTCTGCATTTTCTTATAGGTACTGTATACTATGCAGGTATTGTCAATAACTGTTTGTTGTCACCCGTGAAAGTGAAAGTCAAACCCAAACCCAGATGCCATCTTGAGCTTCCTCTTGGATGTGTGCTGCTTGTGGTCTGGCACCTGGTTGCTCCCTTTTAAGTCCCAACTTTGTGTGCTGTGCCCAGGAGTGTCCTGAACACAGCAAAATGACAAGAAATGAGAAAATACAGGCAGAGGGCAGAGTTTCTGTAGATGCATACACTGCCAAACAGTTCTAGTGAGTCCTAAGTGGTGATATAGAAAGATTACTTTCATATGAGTCTTACATTTTCTGCAATGTATACCTTTAATGAGGGAATATTTCTGTAACGGTACATACATAAAAAGTGAGTCTCTGTAATGTTTTGTATTAGAGATGCATCGGTATGGGGCGTCGGTAGCGTAGTGGATAGTGCCGGAGCCCCATGTATAGAGGCATTGCCTCGCCGCAGCGGCTGCAGGTTCGAATCCGGCTCGCGGCCCTTTGCTGCATGTCAGTCCCCACTCTCTCTCTCTCTGTCTCCTCATTTCACCCTCTGTCCTGTCAATAAAGGCAAAAAGCCAATAAAAATAATCTTTAAAAAAAAAAAAGAGAGAGATGCATCGGTATGGCATTTCAGGGCCTTTAAAGGGATAGTGCACCCAAAAATGAAAATTCAGCCATTATCTACTCACCCATATGCCGAGGGAGGCTCAGGTGAAGTTTTAGAGTCCTCACATCCCTTGCGGAGATCCCAGGGGAGAGGGGGTAGCAAAAAAACTCCACCTAATGGAGGTTTAAGGCGCCCCAGATTCAAACGTCCAAAAACACATAATTGAAACCACAAAATGTCTCCATACTGCTCGTCCATAGTGATCCAAGTGTCCTGAAGCCCCGACATAAAAGTTGTTTGGAAAAATGTCATTTGAACTCTGTTTTTAGCCTCATGTTACAATGAGGCTAAAAACAGAGTTCAAATAACGTTTTTCCAAACAACTTTGTTTAACTAATTTTAATGCATGGCTAATTTGGCTCAACCCTCCATGTAATCAGTCTACATTTTAAGCTCATTCATAATAAAAAGAGCTCTGTATGTCCATGTAAAACATGTCGACTGTAGATAAAGAAGGGACGGGGAGTTGACTTCAGAGCGAGAGGTTGAAGACGTCACACTGCAAGTTTATGTTCTGCTTGTTTGAGAAAGTGCTCATGTTGCAGCTGTGGGATGGTTTACTCAGCAGCCCTCATACTATCTCCCTTACTGACAGATTTATGGCACTTATGGATAACAATCATTAAAATGTATATGAGTAAAATATAATTACAAGTTTGTTCTCTCCGCCATGACCTCTGTTCTACTGTGTTTGCGTGAAGCTGGAGACAGAGAGACAAAAATATCCATTCAGAACCATGTTTTAAGACCCTAGTCTACGTCAGGCTCTCAAGTATTGGATGGAATTCATCTGAAATTCCAATAATAAGAACAGTTATTTAGTTTTCTTAATTATCGGCCAATGCATCAGTCAGTGTATCTGCCACTGATATATTGAGCATCCCTAGTTGTAATTTAAAGAAGACAAAGTGGTAGAAGGTTGACAGAGGAGACAAATATGGAACTTGTCACTTTCAGATAAATAACAAACAGACATTAAACCTCCAAAGCAAAAGCTCAGACTAAGCCAACCAATTATAGCAGCAGAAAGCTGCTTAGTATTTGGATCCAGTGTGAAGTCCTGACAAGTGTCGTTATTATATTCTTTGATATTTGAAGTTATTTTCTGATCTTGGTGTCGCTGTGTCACTGCAGATCAGT